AGGAAGTCTGACGTCTCCTGTCTCACTAGGCTTCCTGGGCCAGGTGAAGTGGCTGTTCCAGCAGGGTGAGGCTCCCTCGGATGGCAGACGCAGCCTGGGTGTGGTGTGAGTGAAGTCTGGCGGGCGGGGCATGGGTGCATTGTCATACACGGTCGCTGTGGCTGCCCTGTGTCAGGTGCACCTGCTCCATGTGTTGCCTGCCAGACATGGCCCTCATCATTTCAATAATGACAAGGGAAGACGTTTTATTTCCATTTTCAGGCAAGGGGGCTGGGCTCCCCTCGAGTGATGGATCTGCCAAGGTTGCAGACCTCCTCAGCCTGGGCGCTCTGCAAGGCAGGGCTCCCCAGGGTGCCCAGAAGCCAGAGTCGCTGGCAAAGCCCCCGAGTGGCAGCTCCTGAGTTGCTCAGGGCCATGGCCCCCACAGACTCCGGGGCAGGGGGCCCTCTACCATCACCTGCCCAGGACGCACGGGTGAGTGCATGTGACTCCGACCCTGATCTGAACCCAGAAAGTGCAGGGTGCGGCATCTCCAACTCAGCTGCTCCCTACTCCACCCCCGCCCCACCCCTCCCTGCCTCCCTGCCAGCTTTCGGGCTTCTGTGGTTTCCAATTACACCCACTTTGGCAAGCTAAGGAAAAGGGTCCTAGCTCACTCACAGCTAGGGTGCATCAGGTAAGGTCGTGAGCCACAGCATGGGTGGGGTCAACAGAGTCCAAATGGCGGCAACAGGCAGAAGCAGCAACACCGGAATGGAATGCCCCAGAGAACAGTAAGCAGCACGCACAGCGTGGCGGGGCGTGGTGCCCCGGGTGTGGCTGGGAGCCCCATGGCATGGCCGGGAGCCCTGTGGTGGGGTGTGAAAGCCCTAGGAATACCTGGAGACCAACATAACTACACCCACACTACCCACCGACCATATCAACATTAATGTTTTTTTTTTCTATTTGATTTTAGTTTTTGAATAAATATAATTATAAATACGTTTTGATCTTTACCACGTCACACACGTGAGTTTTAAAAGCATTTCAACTCACCACACAGACACACGAGATGAACCAGATATATATATTATATTTTTCTAAAGATGATGATTGGAATTGGGTGTTACGCTTCTTTTTGATGAGCATGCGAGTTATGTTTATACGTTGGTAGTGCACCTTAGCACCGTAAATAGGGACTATACATCATATATTATAGACGTACGAGAGAGAGACAGAGTTCTGTTTCGCTATAGGATATAGAGAGAAACGAATTAGTCTGACTGATTTTAATGTGTGTCAGGCTGCTGCGGTATATTGAATGACAATTAGCACATAGACGTACAGGGAGTAAAAGCGTAAGATGGGATTTGAAAATCAGATAATGACCGAATCAAAATCATAACCAATCTAGCATCGTCACAATGACAACGAATCAGCACGTTAATCGATGACGTAGGAGCCTGCGTACCCAAATGAGCTGT